TCTTTCCCGACCTGTTCTAATAGGGACCCCGTCCCTACAGGTTCACCACAGATGTAAGAATCACGTGTCACTTGATTGTACACATAAATCCATAATAAACACCTGGATTGTGTGGAGCTGGATGTGGTTTTTTTCTCTCCGCCCAACGTCCCAGAACGTAATATGGGGGCAACAGGAGAATATGGTTGCATTCCTGATTGAAATCATGAGAATTAATGAACCAAAAGCAAAACCCCAACACATCAAGCAGATGGTCACAGAACACACACCAACCAATCATCACCAAGATGGTAAACCTGATGTCGCCTGACAGCCTGCTCCACCAACCCCTGATGTCCACCTCAGGCACTCAACTGGGCCACCTTCTGGAAGAGTTGTGATGGTGGAAGCACTCGTTCTTACACACAATACTTTCAAACTTAGAGAATCCTTGTGAGATCGGGTCCATCCCTCTACGTCAGTGAGAATGGGGAAGTTAATGGTGAACACTGTGGGAACTGGTTCCTGTTGTTGTGCAAGATGGATCCCCCAAGGATCCACCACACTCTTCAAGGACAGGCAGATATTTCATAACACGACATGCTTCAAGAGACAGCTGACCATCAATGGCCATGCTTAAGTTGAACATCGGTAATAGATGACTGTATCTTGATCAGGCCCACTGTGAAGATACAAGTGTGCAAGACTGAAGGGAAGGCTGGAGGTCAGCTTCGGTCATGTCAGCCTTCAGGAACTCTTTTGGTCCTTCTCTGCCAACCTGTGGGGGTTCTGTCTTCGGCAGAGGTGTTAGGAGACCTGGCACCCCTGCCAGTACCTTGCATGGCCGCAGAAGTTCACATTGGCTGAAATTTGGCTCCAAACGGCCTTTATAAGGAAGCCCTGCACTACTCTCCGGTGCTGGTTGATCTCTGGCTTCCCAGTACCTTGTTGCTGTGCTACTGTGATATGTGATTTCCTGATACCGACTCGGCTTGCTCTTGGACCTGTCTTCTCTGCTTAACCCCTGATCTGACCTCGGCTTGGCTAACGGATATTCCCTCTTGTTCCTCTGTGTATGACCTCGGCTATCCCATCTGACTACGTCTGCTCTGATTTCCACCCGGTACCTGACCTTGGCTTTGAACTGGCTATCCTGTGATCCTCTGTTCCCCAGAAGGCTTGCATACCCCGCACAGGCACCACTTGTCTGCAGATCCCATCTCAGTGCATCAGTTGTGCTCCTGGGTGGACCACCAACCGGCACTCCTACAGGTGACCTGTGCCACTTTGTTCTTGATTCCCGCTGTCCCACTCTCAGGGGAGTCTGGAACTTAGCCGCAAGGGAAGCCCTCTCTCCATTGGCCTCCATCACCAGGTACGTGATACAACCTCTGTTTATTGAAGGCATTTTTCACCTACAGAACCACCACTGGTTGGATATTGTTTCATCTTCCCATTATTTTCTGCAAACCCTGGAAAGGTCAGCAATTTCTGAAGTACTTCCACCGCCATATCTGATGTCAAAGTCACTTAGATCGCGCCTCTTGGTCCAACGAACACTCCAACAGGCGACCTGTGCCACTTTGTTCTTGATTCCCGCTGTCCCACTCCCAGGGGAGTCCGGAACTTAGCCGCAAGGGAAGCCCTCTCTCCATTGGCCTCCATCACCAGGTACCTGATACAACCTCTCTTTATTGAAGGCATTTTTAACCTACAGAACCACCACTGGTTGGATATTGTTTCATCTTCCCATTATTTTCTGCAAACCCTGGAAAGGTCAGCAATTTCTGAAGTACTTCCACCGCCATATCTGATGTCAAAGTCGCTTAGATCGCGCCTCTTGGTCATGCAACTAAACCACTGGACCGCATGTTGCGCGCTTCATGTAATGGGCTTCCACTTGTCTGTGGCTCTAATAAAATGGCTGACGGCTATGTATAGGAAATGAACATAGAAACGTCAATCAGCATGTGACTGTTCTATTTTACATTGTTTCTATGGCTTGTAAAGAGCCAATCAGAACACAGCTTTATTTTTGGCTGCCCCCCCCCCGGTCATGTGACGAATGAAGAGCCGTCTGTGAAGAAAGGCCTCCAACAATGAAACGTTCATATCACCCCAGATGTGGGGATTTTACAGCCCGTCGTGGAGCCCTGGACGTGGAACAATGGCTCCGTTTCAGCTCCGGATCTCTGATGTATCACAAAAAGTCTCCAGTGAAAGCTGCGCGCTCCTCAGATTGTTGGCGAGTCAGAAGGATGACCTTATCCCTGAATGGTTCAAGGCCGAATAAAAGGGAAGCATTCTGCAGAACTGAGGGGTGACCGGGACGGGTTACTCTGTACATATGTCAGGCACTGTAAAAGCATTTATAACATCGATTATGTCATCGAATTTCATAGTCACGCTCTAATTTAGTCACGGGACGCCCATAGATGAAATTCCTTCGTCTCCGGCTCCATTTGTAGCTTTAAAACTGAACTCCAAGCAGAAAATAAAATAATTAAAGTATATTCCTCCAGAGCCACAAAGGATATAAATCCACTTTGCAGAAAATGCCAACCTAGATATTACCTTGTAAAAGTAGCAGTGACATCATCACTGTGCCGTATACAGTCCGTGCAGAGAGCAGATCTGTGGGAGGAGCCCAGCAGGATCCACCCACTACAGAAAATTACAGGAGGGGTGGAGACAAGACCAGTCACCCTGCACAAAGGAAGAGAGCAGAGCTGTGGGAGGAGCCCCAGCAGGCTCCACCCATGACAGAAAACTACAGGAGGGGGTGGGCAAGACCAGTCACCCTGCACAAATAAAGAGAGCAGAGCTGTGGGAGGGGTCCAGCAGGCTCCACCCACTACAGAATACTACATAAGGGGGTGGAGACAAGACCAGTCACCCTGCACAAAGAAAGAGAGCAAGAGCTGTGGGAGGGGCCCAGCAGGCTCCACCCAATACAGAAAACTACAGGAGGGGGCGGAGACAAGACCAGTCACCCTGCACAAAGAAAGAGCAGATCTGTGGGAGGAGCCCAGCAGGCTCCACCCATGACAGAAAACTACAGGAGGGGGTGGGCAAGACCAGTCACCCTGCACAAATAAAGAGAGCAGAGCTGTGGGAGGGGTCCAGCAGGCTCCACCCACTACAGAATACTACATAAGGGGGTGTAGACAAGACCAGTCACCATGCACAATATAAGAGAGAGCAGAGTTGTGGGAGGAGCCCAGCAGGCTCCACCCAATACAGAAAACTACAGGAGGGGGTGGAGACAAGACCAGTCACCTTGTACAAGGAGAGAAAGCAATGCTGTGGGAGGGGCTCAGTGGGTGCCACCAACTACAGAAAACTACAGGAGGGGGCGGAGACAAGACCAGTCCCCCTACACAAGGAGAGGGGGCAGCAGTGAGCAGTCTTTATTCCAGGAAGTCTCACCCTGGATGACGGCTCAGATCTGGAAGAAATACACAGAGATCTCCGAGGTTCCGGAAGACGCGTGACCAATGGGTTTGTTTCCAGGTTTTTATTGATGGTCCCTCCAATGGCAACACAGATATTAAGAACCCGGTACAGGTTCCAAACCTGTGGGCAGCACAGCGGCTAAATGGTTAGCACTTCCACCTGGCAGTACTCGGGTCGCCGGTTTGAATCCCAACCACAGCACCACCTGCCTGGAATTTGCATGTTCTCCCTGTGCCTGCGTGGGTTTCCTCCAGGTGCTTCAGTATCCTCCCACCAGAGGCGGACTACCATTTGGAAACTCGGGCACTGCTCAAGGGCCCGGGGTCAGTAGGGGGCCCCATGAGATGCCCCTGGTACCTTTTTCATAGGCTTTTTTGAGTTTGGGCAAGGACACAGGGGCCCCATGATCCCCTATTACCCAGGGGCCCCATGAGTTGTCAGTCCGCCCCTGCCTCCCACTCTACAAAGACATGCTGGTAGCAGAATAGGCTCTGTCTATATTGTCCCTAGTATGTGTATGTATGAATGTGAGTTAGGGACCTTAGATTGTACGCTCCTCGGGGGCGGGGCCTGATGTGAATGTGTAATATATATGTAAAGCGCGGAGTACATTGACAGCGCTATACAAGTATCTGTAATAAATAAACCTTCTCTACTCTATATAAAAAAAAACAAAAAGTTGGCTGGAGTCCCACTTTCTGAGACCCTTTGTACTTTAACATCTCCATGCCAGAATTTCGAGTCTCAGTCGACTATCACAGCCATTACGATGTCAGACGATGTTGTCATGTTCCCTGATGGATCCTCCATAATGTAGAATGGATAAATAATTAAGTATCCAGCTGCGGTAGAGTTTCCATTATGGCCTTGCGGGGGGTGGTGGAGACACAGACTATCTCACCAGTGGTGTCCCTGGAAGACAGATGATTGGTGGGGCATTAAAGCTCAAGAGATCAAACCAACTAGAAATATTGGTTTTAGGTGGAGAAAAAGAAACATGATATCATTGGCTTCCACCCATGATGGCCCTAGTATCACGTATGTACTGTATGTAGTGGGCACAGTGAGGTGGAAGTTGCCCTTTCAACACGAGCAAAGCCTCTGATTGTTGCTTACGAAGTTGTATGGAGCAAAAAAGAATTCCTCCAGCCCTCGGATCTGCATGTTCTCGCATACGGGGAACATATTCTCAGCTTGCTGGACTATCTATCTGCGCATGGAGCCCCACTCTACGTCATATGTGCTCATATGTGCTGCTGTGGGCATCAGACAAGGGTTGTGCTGGGACTTCACTCCAATGGTGAGCCAATATTTTTCTGGACATCTCTCTAGGGTAGCCTATTACAGCCGGGATTCGGGTCTCCAAACTACGGCCCTCCAGGTGTAGAGAACTGCAAGTGCCATGCAAGACCTCGCAAGACTCTGACAGCCACAGGCAAGACTCCCAGAGCAGGGGCATGATGGGACTTGTAGTACTTCAACAGCTGGAGGGGAATATTCTTCCTATTGACCACCAATGTAAGGGACATTCTTCCCACTGACCCCCAATGTAAGGGACATTCTTCCCACTGATCACCAATGTAAGGGACATTCTTCCCACTGACCCCCAATGTAAGGGACATTCTTCCCACTGACCCCCAATGTAAGGGACATTCTTCCCACTGACCCCCAATGTAAGGGACATTCTTCCCACTGACCCCCAATGTAAGGACCATTCTTCCCACTGACCACCAATGTAAGGGACATTCTTCCCACTGACCCCCAATGTAAGGACCATTCTTCCCACTGACCACCAATGTAAGGGACATTCTTCCCACTGACCCCCAATGTAAGGGACATTCTCCCCACTGACCACCAATGTAAGGGACATTCTTCCCACTGATCACCAATGTAAGGAGCATTCTTCCCACTGACCCCCAATGTAAGGGACATTCTTCCCACTGACCCCCAATGTAAGGAGCATTCTTCCCACTGACCCCCCAATGTAAGGGACATTCTCCCCACTGACCACCAATGTAAGGGACATTCTTCCCACTGACCCCCAATGTAAGGGTTCCTGTGCCATATAAAATAGATCAAGATGCCCACCTTGTCTTTGTAGCCCCAACTCTGGTGTCAGAAGGAAAACAAGCATCTTGGTGACCCAACCATGAACCCATGATGGCGGTGCGGCGCCTCCGCGGTGTTTGGATTAGAAAGTAACCTCGATGGGGAAGGTATTATAGGAAGAGAAAAGTTCCACATCCATCAGCGAGGCCTCCAGCTCTGAATAGCCTGAAATGCAAAGTACGGACTTCGGGTTTGTTCCTTAAACTTAATTGAACATCCTGCTTAGGACCCATCTGGAACCGGCTCCGCCATTCGCATTGTGATTGTCAACCTTTGTGGATTCAGGCTGAACAAACACAATGGAGGATTTTGTTATTTTAAAGAGGCAACAAAGATTTAGGGGCATTTAATACCCATCAAGCTATACAAATACAGCTGCAGGTCCTCCCTGTCAACAGGATACTCCACATTGTGTGCAAATGTATGCACAGCTCCAGGGGTGATGGATGGATAGATAGATAGATAGATAGATAGATAGATAGATAGATAGATAATAGATAGATAGATAGATAATAGATAGATAGATAGATAGATAATAGATAGATAAGATAATAGATAGATAGATAGATAGATAGATAGATAGATAGATAGATAATAGATAGATAGATAGATAGATAATAATAGATAGAAATAATAGATAATAATAATAAATAGATAAAGATAGATTAATAGATAATAGAAATAGAAAATAATAGATAATAAATAAATAGATAGATAATAGATAGATAGAAATAGATAATAGATAAAATAATAATAGATAAATAATAGATAGATAATAAAAATAATAATAGAAATAGAAAGATAGATAGATAGAAATAATAGATAGAAATAAAAAGATAGATAATAGATAATAGATAGATAAAAATAGATAAATAATAGATAGATAATAGATAGATAGATAGATAGAAATAATAATAGATAATAATAGATAGATAGATAAAGATATAGATAATAATAATAGATAGATAATAGATAGATAGATAATAGATAGATAGATATAAAATAGATAATAATAGATAAATAAAGATAGATAGATAAAAATAGATAGATAATAATAGATAATAGATAGATAATAAAAATAATAGATAGATAGAAGATAATAGATAGATAATAGATAAAAAAATAAATAAAAATAAAAATAGATAGAAAAAATAATAAAAAAATAATATAAAATAGATAGATAGATAATAATAATAAAATAATAAATAATAGATAGAAAAAATAAAAAAAAAAATAATAGATAATAATAAAAAAAAAGATAATATAAAAATAATAAAAAAAAAAAAATAATAAAAAAATAAAAAATAATAAAATAATAAAAAATAAAAAAAAAAATAAAAAAAAAAATAATTTAAAAAAATAAAAAAAAATATAATATAAAAAAAAATAATATAATTTTAAAAAAAATAATAAAAATAAAAAAAATAATATATAGAAAAAAATTAGATAATAAAATAAAAAAAAAATAAAAAAATAATAAAAAAAAAAATAAAAATAAAAATAAAAAAAAATAAAAAAATAAATAATTAAAAAAAGTAATTAAAAAAATAAAAAAAAATAAAAATATAAAAAAAATAAAAAAAAAAAAAATAATAAATATAATAATAATAAAAAAAAATAAAAAAAAAAAAAAATAGATAGATAATAGATAGATAAATAAAAAAGATAAATAATAATTAAATATAAAAAAAAAAAAAAAGATAATAAATAAAATAAAAAAAAAAAAAAAAAATAAAAAAATAAAAAAAAAAAGATAATAAAAAATAAAATAATAAAATAAAAAAATATTAAAAAAAATAATAAATAGATTAAAAAAAAAAAAATATAATAAATAAAAAAAAAAAAAATAAAAATAAAAAAAAAAAAAAAAAATTAGATAAAATAAAGAATAAATAGATAAAAATAAATAGAATAGATAAGATAATAATAATAAAAAAATAAAAAATAATAGATATAATAAGAAAAAAAAATAAATAATTTAAAATAAATATAAAAGAAAAGAAAAAAAATAAAAATAGAAGAATAATAGAATAGATAGAACGTAATTAAAAATAATAGATAGATAATAAAAAAAAAAATAAAAAATAGAAAAATAATAAAAATAGAAAAAGATTAGATAGATAATAGATAGATAGATAGATGATAATAGATAGATAGCATAATCACTCATAGATAATAGATAGTATAGATAATAGATAATAGATAGATAGATAGATAGATAATAATAGATAATAGAAAGACTAATAGATAGATCGCATAGATACAGGAAATGTGTATTTCCTCCCCTCTGATGCAGAACAACATCTCAGAGGGATTGGCCCCCAGGCCCACTCCTCTTGGCAGATCCTCTCCAAGTCATTAAGGTTTGGTGGCTGACGTTTGGCAACTCGAACTTTCAGCTCCTCCACAGATTGCTGCAGAGATAAAACAAAAGAAAAAAAATTCTACCGCTTTACAAAACTCTGGTTTGGCCACATCTGGCAGCACAGTGGCTGAGTGGTCAGCACTTCCGCCGCCTGGCAGTACTCAGGTCGTTGGTTCGAATCCCAACCCCAGCACCACCTGCCTGAAGTTTGCAAAAACTCCAGTTTCCTCCCACACTCAAAAGACATGCTGATGGGTTAACTGGCTCCTGTCTAAATTGGCCCTAGTATGTGTATGTATGAATGTGAGTTAGGGATCTTAGATTGTACGCTCCTCGGGGGCAGGGACTGATGTGAATGTACAATATATATGTAAAGCGCTGTGTATACTGATGGCGCTATATAAGTACCTGAAATAAATAAATAATGCTGTCCAGTTTCTGGTCACCAGTCCTCAGGAAGGATGGGCTGGAACTGGAGACAGTCAAGAGAAAGGCAAGAAAACTAATAAAGGACATGGAGGACCACAATTATGGGGGCTGGAGGACCTCAGTGAGGAGCTCAGTTATGGGGGAAGGAGGAGCTCAGCTATGGGGGATGGAGGACCTCACATATGGCTAATAGAGGAGGAGCTCAACTACTGGGGCTGGAGGAGCTCAGTTATTGGAGATGGAGGACCTCAGTTATGGAAGACAGAGGACTTCAGTTATGGGGGATGGAGGACCTCAGTTATGGGGGATGAAGGGCCTCAGATATGGCTTATGGAGGATCTCAGTAATGGGGGATGGAGGAGCTCAGTTATGGGAGATGGAGGAGCTCAGTTATGGGGAACGAAAGACCTCAGTTATGATGAGATCTTTTATAGGGGATGGAGGAGCTCAGTTATGGGGAATGAAGGACCTCAGATATGGCTGATGGAGGATCTCGGTAATGGGGGATGGAGGACCTCAGTTATGGGGGATGAAGGTCTTCAGTTATGGGGGATGGAAGAGCTCAGTTATGGGGGATGAAGGACCTCAGCTATGGCTGATGGAGGATCTCAACTATTGGGGCTGGGGGAACCTCAGCTATGGCAGATGGAGGACCTCATTTATGGGGGGTGAAGGTCCTCCATTATGGGGGTTTGAGGACTTCTGTTATGGGGGATGGAGGAGCTCAGTTATGGGAGATGGAGGGCCTCAGTTATGGGAATTGAGGAGCTCAGTTACAGTGGATGGAGGACCTCCATTATGGGGGATGAAGATCTTCAGTTATGGGGGATGGAGGACCTCGGTTATGGGAGATGGAGGAGCTCAGTTATGGGAGATGGAGGTCCTCAGTTATGGGAATAGAGGAGCTCAGTTAAGGGGGATGGAGGAGCTCAGTTCTGGGAGATGGAGGTCCTCAGTTATGGCTGATGAAGGACCTCAGTTAAGGGGGATGGAGGAGATCAGTTATGAGGAAAGGTTATTTTTTAATGAAGAAGAGACAGTTAAAGCAGAACCACAAGTACTTTTTTTTACCCTTGCAGTGGGGCTGTGCCTGCAGTGCGTGTTAACTGCTTGTTTTTTGTCTATGGGGTGAGGAGCGGGACAGTATACTCACCTAATCCTCTGATCGAGCAAGAGCGGTCCCTGCTACACCTGTCCACCCCTGTCTTGTGTGGTGGACTGTTTCTGATGTTGTCATGCCCATAGACCAACTCTGAACATGAAGACGTCAGGAACAGTCCATCACTGGACATGGGGAACACCGTTTTCTGGAGGATTGAGTGAGTTTAGGCTCTGTGTACATCCCTAGACAAAATGAGCCACGCAGGGCGGGCATAGCCCCAATGCATGGTGGGAAAAGAAACTGCCCAGAGTTGGGCTTTAAGAGGCGACAATCACGATATACAAATATCTAAATGGAGATCCAAGCATAAGGAAAAATTATTCATTCTCAGGTCGCTTAAGAAGACACGGGGCCACTCAATGAAGTTGGATGAGAAGCAGTTTAACCTTTAACTGTATAAGGGATTCTTTACTGTAAGGGCGGTAAGGATGTGGGGCTCCCTTCTACAATTGGTGGTGTCAGCAGGGAGTGTTGATCATTTAAAAAAAAACTTTTAGATGTGCATCTTACCGAACACAATATACAGGGATATCAGAAGTGAGAGGGACATAAATATATTTGCACTCACACAGGTAGAACTGGATGGATCGATGTCATTATTCGACCTTGAAACTACAGTTTGTAACTATGTAACAATATCGGAGATCATCGTGAGCTCTATGAAGGTCTTCTGACATCCTCCATCATCAATTCTCTTCTATGGTACAGAACCAAAGTGGAGCCGTTGGCATGGGATGGATCGGGTGATGGTGTCATGACCACATGCGCAGGTTGGGCACCCGGGACTATGGTCTGGATCTCCCTATGCACCCGATGGAAGATCCGGGAGGAGACAGAGATATTCCCCGCATGCTGTATGGAACATTCCGTACCATTTTGATGGTTCACCACAACCAGCCACATGTAAGTAATAATATTCCGCCAATTTTTCCTATTTCCAATGAAAAAAACCAAAGAAACGACATTA